AAATAGACATCTGCACACAAGTCATCTTCTGCTCCGGTGGATCACACAGCCATCCACTCGCCCCCAAACCATGCACGTGCAAGGAACACACAAGGCTTGAAACACTCGATCACGACATTAGCTCACTTACAAGAATCAGACCAAACCATGAGTGCTGCACAAACAAGGCAGGTCACTGAACTGACGGTGGACAAACCCCACTGGATTGAGCCCACTCCCAGAGAAAGAGAAAGGAATTTATGCTCTAAATCAAACCAGGGTGACTGCCTGCTCAAACAAGTCAAACACAAACACGAAAATCAACTTTCTACAGGAGGTCTTAACAGGATCCAGAGTTTTACAACATAATATTCCAAATATTCAGATGCAAAAAAAATTTTTTTTTTTTACCAATCCCACAAACCCAAACAGAATAATGTCATCAATTCTCAGGAGAAAAATGCAATCAACAGATGCCAGCCACATGAGAGGAATCAGACCGTGGAATAATCTGGAAGACTTTAAAGATGTAAGAGCTGTGCTCTGTGAGATAAGTAACCCTCTTGAAATGGAAGGACAGAAGAATTTTCAACAGAGACAGAGAAATTATTTTTCCAAATTCCAAATAGAAATTGGGAAAAAAATTCAATAGTTATTTTTAAGTCACTGATTTAGTTTAATCATAGAACAGAGATGACGAGCGGTTTAGTGACTTGAGCACAGACAAGAATTATCCAACATGGGGGTAAGAGCGATAGTACAGTGGGGAGGGAGTTTGCCTTGCACAAGGCTGACAAGGGTTCCATCCCCAGCAACCCATATGGTTCCCCAAGCACTGGCAGGGGTGATTCCTGAGTGCAGAGCTGGGAGTAATCCCTGGTCATTACCGGGTGTTGCCCAATTAAGCCAAAAAAAAAAAAAAAAGAATTATCTAACATAAAGAACATAAAGGACAGGTGGAGGAGGGAGAGGTGGAGGACAGAGAATGAACAAAAGTGGAAGCGTTTGAAGAACACTAGCAAAGTACCAACCATTCATGTCACACACATCTCAGATACCAAAGGAAAAGAGATGGGAGAGAAAACTCTGTGATAAGACTCCCTGAAACCCTCTCAGATTTGGTGAAAGACAAAATAAATGAAGCAAAAACTGACAGAATTAAAAGGAGATGAAGACAATTCCAGAACCACAGCCAGAGATTTTAACCCTCTCTTAGCCTTGCCAGAGATGTTAGATTGTAAGGTCCCTTGGGACCTCAAGGGAGATTTCCAGAGTTAAAACTCTACTAATTAGTAACTCTCCCTTTCCTGCCCCCTCCCTAGTAGAGCCTTAGCTGTGAAGCCCTTCCTTATTGGGATGTAAATTCGGAAACCATTTGTTGAGTCTTCCTTGCTGGGATGTAAATTCGGAAACCATTTGTTGGCCCTTCCTTATCTGTTACCTCTGTTAGGAACTTTCCCCTTATCTGCCTCCACCTGAATGCAGGAGCCATGAGCTGAGAATCAAAGGGAGCCAGGTGATAACCAAATGTCCGAGTTACCAGATGCCCACTAGCCACAATGCCTATGTACACAAATGCTGATCTTTGAATCTATAGGCTAAGGAGTGATGCACTTTTAAATGGATTGGTTAAGAAAGTCTATGTTGTTACAAATCTATTGGCTATGAAATGCGTGGGCTTTGCTGTAATGGCCAGTGAAGGCCTATATAAGATCCCCTTATTGACCCTGGCTAGCCAGCTTAATAAACTACCTGCTTGCTGACTGCATTCCTGCATAGTCCTTGCTTGCAGTCGGAGATCCAGAGTCGTGCCCTAACAAGATTTTTTAAAAATCATTGAAGATATAGAAGATATGAACAAGATAGTCATCTTGACCTAATTGATTTGTGTAGGATAACACTGTTCTGTTCTTCCTGCATAGCCTCAGGCAGTTCAGGTTTATTGGGTTGCTCTCATCACAGTGCTCCCGTTCCTCTGTGTTTATTTGTAACTTCTTTCTTCCTGCTCTGTTGACTGTAAATATTGTTTTTCTCTTCTTCCTAAGTCCTTTGCATAGTCTCTTCAGAGCAATGTCCTTTTTGTATGGACACAAGAAGACATGCTTCTGTAATGTGACTCTCAGTGATATTTCATTCCTGGGCATCTGCTTTCTCAACTTAAGCCTGTCACCCTCACTTCCTAGCGCCCCTAAAAGCAGGGTCCCGAGGAGGGACTGGATGGATCCTGGGCAAGCCGTAAGCTATGTGCTACCCTGGCATCAAGATGGGCCTTGCCAAAGTGCCAACAAGCCCTGAGTTAAGAGCTTGGTCATGGACAAATGCTGTTATGATCCAAAAAGTAATAACTAGATTTGGATCCTGCTAGGGTTAGGAAAGATTAATCTGGCCTGAGTGCTGTAGTCTGAGTCTGTGGCAAGATGTTCCCAGGAGAGCTGCCCTACAAGTCTCAATGTTAGCTCTTACTGTGTCCATACAAAAATAGCTAGTAATTTTTCCTGTTTCAAATTTTGTGTTTTTTGTAAAAAGAAAAAGGGGGAGATGTAGGATAACACTGTTCTGTCCTTCCTGCATAGCCTCAGGAATAGTTGATAGTTGATAGCTTATTGATAGTTTATTGGACTGAGGAAAAGAGAAAAACACCTTAAGGAGGTATTTTGCCTGGGGCAGTCAGGAAGGGCTTTAGAATACCTTTTAGGTGGGCCCTCAGGAAGGGTTTTCTTATGCTGATTTGGCTACCTGACTGGCTGGAGTGTGAGCCCAGACTGCCAGGGAGTTGGAGAGATAAGGGAGCTGGAGAAAGAGAGAGCAGGGCTGCAAGATGGACCACAGAGAGACTAGCAAGGGGGACATGTACTTGAGAGAACCTAGGCCCTCTATACATACATTTCTTCTACGGGACAAACTTCCTTGCAATAAACTGCTACAAAGATCAACCGGCCTGGCCCTCGTCTCTTCCTTCGTCTGCCCTTGGCCAACACACAGCGGCTCTAGGGCACCGAATGCAGGCGGTGAGATAGAGCCGTCCAGAGAGCCCGCGAACACACCTTCTGCGTGCATAGTTTTTTACAGATTTGTATCGAATAATATACAGAAAAAAAGAATATACATTATTTGCAAGGGCTTGCAAATAATGTATATTCTTTTTTTCCCAAGGACAGATCATATACTGAAAAAAAGCAAAAGTAGTATTGAATTAAAAGTTAGGCAGGTAGGCGAGCAATACAGTGGGAGGGGTGAAGTACAGTGGGAACTTTGCACGCAGGCAAACCACGTTCAATCTCTGGCACCCCATATGGTTCCCTCAAGCCCTATCAGGAATGATACCTGAATGCAGAGTCAGGAGTAAGCCCTGAACACACAAACAGGAAAAGAGTTGGGGCCTGGAGAGACAGTACAGCAGATCGGGCATTTGCCTTAAAGGCGAGGCGACCAACCTGGGTTCATTCATTCCCCTGCATTCCATATGGTATCCCGCCAGGAGTGATTCCTGAGAAGAGCTAGGAGTAACCCCTGAGCATCACAGGGTGTGACCCAAAGAGTCAACACCCCCCCCCCCCCCAAAGTAGCATTTAGTGACTGAAAACCAGAAACTACAGTGTTACCTAACAATAAGAGAATTCCATGAGGAACAATTAACAAAAGTGGGTAAAAATGGAGATAACAATTGTCCACAAAAGGGGCTGGTAGCACAAGAGGAGCGATAGTGCAGTGGATAGGGCATTTGCCTTGCATGCAGCTAACCCGGGTTCAATCCCTGGCATCCCATAAGGTTCCTTGAGCACCACCCAGAGTAATTCCTGAGTGCAGAGCCAGGAGGAAGCCCTGAGCATCACCATGTGAGACTCCCCCCAACCCGCCCCCCCCCCAAAAAAAAAACCTGTCTATAAGATACTTTCACCAGTCCGAGGATGCCAAAGGGCAGAAACCTAAAGAAGTAATCTACCTAGCTGCTCACCTATTCACCTAACTACCTACTAGAATGGCAATGATTCTTTATTTAAGCAAGGAGTCAAAAGCTATAGCTTGTGGTCCAAATCTCACCTATGTCCACTTTCTTAAATAAGGAATTATTGGACACAGCTGCACCCATTTGCTGGGAGCTACCTATGGGTGCTTTATCTCCATGACCAGTAGGTGAGACTATTTGCAACCGAGACCACACAGTCAACAAAACTTTGGGTGTAAACAGTTTATCGGGCCCTTTACAGGTGCCAATCCCAGATTTAAATGACAGCAGTTCTCAGTTGGGCTAACTATGAAAGATAATGTTTCTGCAGCCTATTGATTTCTGTCTCCTGGTGCTGGGATATTATAGTGAAGCCTCCCCAGGCTGCAATGTAAGGCTCTAAAGGATACATGTATGAAAATGTAACTGTAATAATAATAAGCTTCAACAGAAATCCTTTTTACCTATTCACACAGACATCCTGTGATGAAAAATATGCTCTCTTCCAGTTTCAAGGAACTTATTCGCTAAGAGCACAATCTGTGCAGTTGAGGATCCAAAAACTTGAACCTAGTAAGAATCTTCTCATATCTGAGGGATGTTGCACCAATCACAGTATTTTCAAGCTGGTCTAACTTCTCCCATGGTCCTCCAACCACCTCACCAAATGTGTTCCATGGCTTCTCCGGGTCACCCCTCCACCAAGCACGTCATGTACAGCAGAGGCGCAAGCATATCACATGGGTGAAGGACCGTTCAAAACCACCATAAACCAGCAGTGGCTCTCAAGTGGGGGTAGCTCTCAAGCAGTGAATGCTCTGACTTAGCACAGCGGTAGGGTGTTTGCCTTGCATGCAGCCAACATGGCCGACCCGAGTTTGATTCCTCCACCCCTCTCGAAGAGCCCAGCAAGCTACCGAGAGTATCTCGCCCACACGGCAGAGCCTGGCAAGCCACCTGTGATGTATTCGATATGCCAAACACAGTAACAACAAAATCTCCAATGGAGACGTTACTGGGCCCGCTCCAGCAAAAAAAATAAGATAAGACACATTAAATAAAATAAAGTACATACCTGAACTACTGAAGTGGTGGTACTGCTGTCGTGGGTAGCCAGCGTTGGAGGAAAAAATGCCTAAACATGAAGGAAACAAATGAGTTAATTCTTACAATAAGAATACCCATCCCAACTTTAGGGACATATGGCTGACAAATAAACTTGGGCATCTATTTAGATTACACTACCTGATGATGTTACAAGGATGCATGATTATCTGACACACATATACAATGTGAAACAATGGACACAGTTAACCCATCTATCACCTCACACAGCGAGCGGTGTGTGTGTGTGTGTGTGTGTGTGTGTGTGTGTGTGTGTGTGTGCCCGCGCGTGTGTGCACGCATGCACACATGTGTGTGTACTTCAGGTCTACTCTCTTGGTAATTTTCAGTATATAACAGTGCTAATAACTACAGTCACATACTACATCTTAAGTCCCCAAACTCATTCATCTTCATTTGAACTAGTATCTCCCTATTTTCTCCTCCCCTCAGTTCTCTGGCAAACCACTGCTTTATTCTCTCAGTCTAGGAGTTTGATCTTTTCAGATTTCACACATGAGGAAGGTTATATAATTTTTCATGCTCTTTTTTTGTCATTGTTATGAGTTAATGTAATATCATCCAGGTGAATTCATTTTTCCCTAAGTGGCAGAGTATCTTTCATATGGCTAACTAATCTAAGCATGTGGGCATTGCATGCTTACAGTCAGATTCCACCACTTCACAACTGAGGTCCACAAAGACGCCAAAGTGCTGAAAATTTAAGGTACACTGGGGGATTTTTGGCTGAAAACTCCGGGTCTTCTCACGTTGGGGTAGGCAACCTCCCCACACCTGCCGTACTTCTGGAAGACCAGCAGCCACACTCACATCCTACTGCTGCCACCATGTAAGCTCACTGTTAAATATTCTGGATTTTCTGAAGTGGTCATGCGACATCTCACACTCTATGATGCTAACATCCCAGTAGGAGCACACCAGATTGAACGGGAATGTCATGGAGAAGCCTGCTAAGCTCAACTAACAAAAACATTAACACAGAAGGCTCAATTAGCAACAACAGCTCAGTAAACCCTCAGACAAGGAGTTAATGTCCTCGTGGTGACATATAACAATTTTCACAAATTTTTTTACTAAAGTAATTTTTAACCATTTCATTAGCCATTTAGGGGTAACAAGCGATATAAAATAAATTATTGTAGGCCTGCTACAAGGGCAGGCTTAAGGAGTGGTTGGAAAAAAGGAGACAACGGTGGAGGGAAGGTGACAATGGTTGTGGGACTGGTGTTGGAACACTGAATGCCTGTAACAAGTCATCATGGACAACTTTGTAAACAATAGTGTTTAGATAAAGTGGGGAAAATTTTAATTAAAAAGTAATTTAGAACGTGCATATGCATAGGAAACCTTATCTATTCATCCACTGATGGACCAGGCCCGGTTGTGATGCCTTCACATAAGATCGTGGTCTGGCTACAGTGAATAGTGGCTCCCAACCAAGGTGATCCATGCTCCTTATCCTATGTGCCTAAGGGGCCTCTGCTACTTCTGTCCCTAGGAAGACAGTAGTTCACTTCAGTTCTGTTGAACAGAAGAGGCTGAGAGAGGGGAGCTTTAGCATGACCCTCCACTTCCAGAGTGACCAGAGAGTAGCCATCCTCTCCCCGACCATGCTTGGTGATTTTCAGAGGGCCCCATTTCAACCCAGTTCTCAGATTAGATCTTTCTGCCATTTCATCGGGAGAAGCACCGGGAAAGGAGGCCGAGAAGCTGCAGGCTGTTTATAAACAACGTTGAACGCTTGTTCCAACTTTTAGTAGTTGCTCTTCTATTACTTTGAAAATGGAATGATGTCAAATGAAGTCTTCAGAGAAAAGAGGCAAGGTTTCGAGAAGGAAAACTAAAAATTTAAATGCTAGTATTATGGGGACAACCCCTTTCAAAAACGAAGTACTCACCTAAGCTCACTTGTAGTATGTCTGCAGAAAATCTCACTAAGCACTTGACTTTTAGAAAGACACAGGATAATAGGAAAGAATTTGTAAACTCCCAAGATTCATTTCTTTATTTTTTTTTATAGGTACTGAGAGCATTTGGGCAACATAGCTCATTGTAAGCTATGTCAGAAATACAATGAAATTAGAAATTTTTACCAAATGATGCTCTCACTGTCTCCTTCAGTCACATACTGGAAGTGCAATAACAAGCAAGCACAAGAAAATCAGAATATTTTCAGAACTTACACTGCCATTAAAAAAAAAAAATCACCCAATGGTGAATACAGCCTGCTAATAAAAGCGGCTGCATGGTGCCTGGGACGCTTTCTCGTATCATGAATATTATATGGTTTTCAAGAATACCAGCCATTGGCACAAACTGTGAAAACAAATTATTTATGGTTCAAGAAAAGGTAAAATAGTCTCGAAAGATTTCCCATGAATAAAAGATGAAATATTAGAGCTCCTCATATGGACTATGAAACAAGTGTTTGCAAAATAGCTTCCTTATAAGTCAAAAGCAGCAGAGCAGTTTAAATTAAGAGGACTAAAATATTCATACATTTCTACATAAAGTAAGGTATTTTCATTGAGCATCATCTCAAAAAGGAGAAAAGCAAGCGTGCATATGCTTGCGCACGTGAGCACACATACACGTAAGCACGCGCGCGCGCGCGCACACACACACACACAGTTTAAGCAGAAGCCAAACTTCTGGCAATAACAGGTTTGGTTTGGCTGTGCATGAATATATGTCTTACCCTCCAAGGACCTAGCGGTCATTCTGAATTCTTCACAAGACCAGCTTTGTAGCTGAGTACAGTTTTGGTTTTCCTTTTTAATGCTGCCATGCACACAGATTAGTTTGTGGAATACTGTGGAGGAAGGAGTCGCTTTAAACCTGTTTCAGTTCTCTGCATTGTCAAGGAGCCCAGGGCTTGCTGGAAGTAGCAGTAATACTGAGGGCATGAATATATCCCACGCTTCGTGCCCTAAGAAAGCCTCGGGTTTACATTCTGGGATTGCGGTTTCTTCTGAAGCAGCGTGTGGAACTGTACCGCTGCCTGTCTCTTGATTTTTAAGAGAGCCGTTAGGGAATTCCTAAGCTGAACCACGGGGAAACTGTTTCCATTAAAACTGAGATGCGCTTCCAATTGCTGCTCACACTAAATGTGTTTAGGTCTGTACCTGCACACGCTTCCATGATTTTCTTCAAAGGTCCATGAACGTACATTAGTCCAACAAGAATTCCAGCCAGATGCCCAGCGAAGGAAGTCCTAGGAGAGAAGGGGACCCTTAGTGAGCGTTTGTTCTGCTGCAGATTAGATACATTCTGCCTTTCCATTAGCCCAGTTCCTGTCAATTAGTCACAGGCTGCAGGATTTGCTCATATCAGGCCTTTTCTACAGAGCAGCATTTAACCCAGTCCAAAGAACAACATTTTCTATCTCAGGGAAGAATAGGGGAATGAATAACCAGCACAGTTCACGATGCTACATCCCATCTAGGCCAAGAGCAATGTGCTGGCCCCTTCACGGTGACAGAAACATTTTGTCTATACAACCACCCATTATATATACATATATATATGTATATATATATATATATTTCTTACAACTCTTCTTTGTATCTCTTAGCACAAACTTAAATAGAATTGGTTTCATACTAATTAAATCTCACTATCCTCTCACTGTAAGGGGTGGTATCTGTGTGTCCAAGAGGAAAAGAACCATGGTTTGTTTGTTTGTTTGTTTGTTTTGGGGGCTGGGGTGTTTGGGCCAGGAGTTACTCCTGGAACTGCACTCATGAATCACTCCTGGCAGTGTTCTGAGAACCATATGGGATTCTAGGACTCTAACCCAGGGGCAGCTACATGCGAGGCCAGCACCGTACCTGCTGTATGATCGCTCTAGCTCCAGAGCTGCATTTCAATACACACCACTGACCAGTGCATCAGAGAGCAACAGAACTGGCAAAGGCTGAGATGTTCCCACATCTCCCCTGAAAGAGCCTTCACAGGTATCTTTCAGTGACTTAGCAGAAAGATGCATAAAAGCCTTGAACTTCAAGCTTGCAGGATGAGTCGGGGCACTGAATTGGTTCCACTCTCCTCAAAACAGCATCTAAGACCTGGTGAGCACCCATAATTAGAAATGCCAGCCACGGCCCAGCTGAGTACGGCCATGGGTGACCATCCAATCAGGGACAGGACATGGATGCCAGGGCGGTACCTATAGGCTATGCCACAATGCCAAGGTGTTGTGTCTTATAGGTTGCATCTCTCTCGGTTATTGGAATTAGGCCATGATGTTTATGCAACAAAAGCATCCAAGGACACATTCCCACACAATCCCTGATGTTGACACGAGACTGTATGTTGGATGGGCCAAAGAATATCAGGAAGAGTCCCCTACCCCCACCCCAATGCTCCACAGGCCACACCTCCTGCAGGGAGCTCTTGCTCTCTAAAGCACCCACCACTGGTATCATTCTAAAACAGACCAGGATGCCATCACCATCTGAAGACACCTGCTGATGGCTCCCCCTTCAGAATATCCTCCACACAGCCAAGGAGGCCTTGCTGCCCACCTTTATCTCTGGCTGACCCCTCCCTCTGACACCCACCACACAAAGCCCTCAGAGGTGAGTCCAAGCCCAAGCGGACCAGCACCTTGGCATAAAACTGTGCCCAGGGGAAGAATCCTCCTTTCCTTCCCTCAGCCAGCCTGCTGTAGCTTTATGAAGGCTGATGGCTGACAGCATGCAGGGCAGCAAAGTCTGTCTGACTTTTAAGCTGCCTTTTACAAAACTCCCTGGAGGAGCAATGGTGCTTGTAAATTAGAAGTTAAACCATGTGTGTTTGTCCGCTGGACCCTGCGCCAGGCTGTTTCACTTGGAGTGCCCAAGAGAGGGACTTGTGGGACCCCTCCCAACCCCTAGGGACCCAGCCCCGGCAGCCAAAAAACTTCAGAATTCAACCACCACCCTGCTCATGGCCACTCTTCATATGCTTGGGGCCAAGCCTCACCCACAAGCGAACCTTTTTCCTGGACCATGCGCTAATGTGGCTGCACGACATTTCATAGGACACACCCTACTCATACTCCAAGAGTACTGCACCACATTTGATGGGGTTCAAAACAGGAGGCAAACAACTATAGAGGGAAATATATTCGGTTCTGCTTTGGGGCAGGGATTGGGGGTTGGGATGGAAACAACTGAAAAATGGTGGTGGGAAGGTTTAATGGAGGTAGGATTGGTGTTTAAATACTAAATGTAGTCAAATATTGTGAACTACTTTGTAAAATAAATTTTTTTTAAATGCACGTGCGTGCGCACACACACACACAGACCAAGCAAATAAAGACCTTTCACAGCTTGCAGAAGTGGTACCCTCAACATCTCGGCGAGCACAGTGACTTCTGAGCTTTGCACACATGCACAGTCACATAAGTACACTCCCAAGTGTGGAGGCCGCCACAGGGCACACCTAGCTATCAGGGGAACGTTTGATTCCATTGTCGCAGGAGGGCTCAGCAAGAAACCCACTGACCCTGGCAGCAAGGGGCTGGTGTAGGAGGATAGGAACCCACAGTGAGGTGGGCGGCTGAAGACCCTGGGAGCGAGTTAGTTACATGTGTTCCTCAAAGCTTTGGAGCTAGTGACAAAACTGTGGCCCTCAGGATGAGCAAAAGCAACAAGAACACTTCAGAGAAAGAAAGGGAGTCTCACACAGGTGAAACAACTGCTAGTTCAGACCACGTGCTGGCCCTGTGACTGTCAGACACACCCATTCCAAGTGACATGTACACTACACAGAGAGCGCCCCTCACACACACACACACCGAGAATCTCTCACACATTAATGGTCGCATGTACACACATATACATACTGACAATCACACACAAATACACTAAGACTCTCTCTCACACATACACTACGCAGACACTGAGAGTCTCATACACTCTGATAATCACACACACACACACACACACACACACACACACTGGAGTCTCAAACATACTGATAGTCACACACACACCAAGTACGCACAGACACATACTGGGAGTCAGTCTCTCTCTCTCTCTCTCTCTCTCTCTCGCACACACACACACACACACACACACACACACACACTCCTACACTCCTTCAGGAGAACTCTTAATTTCATCAAATATCTCTACTTCACAATATGTGTAAGCTGAGGATAAGGCTATAGTATCAGGACTCGGGTCTGATTTTCAGAGAACAGCATAAACTGTTCTTCAACGATTCAACAACAAAAATTATAGTCTATTTTTAGGCTATTTTGAAAATCATCAAGTAGCTCTAGAAAAGGCAAAGAAAGAATTTGAGGAATACCAAGAAGACAGCAGATAATTTAAAAATATGTGTGTATATATAAATATATATGTATATACAGACAGAGAAAGAGAAACCTCAATTTAATGGAAAAGAATAAAATAGCATCACTATTTTTAAATCTTCTTAAACAATCTTTATGGCAAACCATGTAGATATAAAATAACATGGAAGAAAACTTAAAACTTAAGTTGAAAAAAAATGCTCAACTTAAAACCTCGACCTATTAAAATAAGCTTGAATCTCAAGTACAATTTAGAGCACAGTACAGTCCAATGAACCTCTTCTCTCTCTCAATGGCTTCCAGAAGTCTGAGTTCCACCAAAGTTGCCCTAGCGTACCTGTGAGCAACTCAGAAAGGGAGGGGACGAGAAGAGAGCAGACCACATTATCCACTAACTTTCTGCATCTTCCACACTTCCCACAAATGGCATCCTTATCATTCCCTTTAAGCTCTATAAAGTTGTTCTTTTCTACCTTAAAAATGAAAGGAGATGATGAGGGGATAAGCAGGTACCGATGGCAATGGCACTCTATCTGCTCATCCTAACCAGGTGATGAATCTCTGCTGACCTGCAGCCAAGAGCCGAGCAGGGCAGGACCACAGGGTAGGGATGGGAGGTGATGCCTGGCCCAAGGCTGCTGTGGGGCACTGGGAAGCCTTGGGCTGTGGGAAGGACCCCATATCTGAGTGCTCTGATGAACAAGCATCTGCTTTAGAAGCCACTCCCAGTGGGCTAGAGAGACAGCTCAGAGAGCGAGCGTGTGTGATGCACACAGAAGGTGCAGGCTCAATCCCTGCACTGCATGGCACCCTGAGCACTGACTGGGAGGGGATCATGCTGAAGGAAAGGGAAGATGCAGAATGATCTCTCTCATAGGCGTAGCTCACAGATACACAAAGACCCAAAGGCAACATAATGGGTGGAACTGACACGCCTAATTGAGAAGGGGAGTGGGTGAGAGGAAGGGGAGGGTGAAGGGACCCTGGCGATGGGTGTGTTGTTGGATTATGTCCATGAGAAACCACTATTGATAGTATTATAAGCCTGGACAATAAATAAATTTTAAATTATTAATATAAATAAATAAAATTTAAAATCCTTGCCTATAGATAAAATAATTCATCTCAAACAGAATGATTTCAGATTCATCACAGGTTCCAAGTCTAAGTACCTTAGAACAACAGGATGAGACGGAAACGCCTAGTGGGGTGATGTCACCATTGTGGGGATACAGTATTGGAGTGGTTTTTGCTCATTTATGGGTCCAACCAAAACAAGAGATTCAACTGAATGCAAGGGGACATGGCACTCAGTAAACACACATCCACGAAGCTGCCACTGCACACAATCTCACAACACCCTAAAACACGGCAATGGCTGCAAACTCATGATGTAGTAGGAATCGGGGACCTCTGTCACCGATACATAACTGCAGCGATCAAAATGCTCTTGTGTGCCGTGAGGTGAACTGGAAAAAAAAAAATACTGCTCAAAATCCTGTCACAGAGGCAATCATTCTCTTAGATCATTCTCATAGATAGCTGAAGTGTACTGATGCGTCCAAACCCTTGGATGTACCACTGACTGGGAAGGGTGTAACAGGCTTGCTAAAACCCAACTCTTTGGGTGAAAGTCTCAGAGCATAAATCCTGCTAGTCACGCGTGTGCAGTTAAGTATTAGCCCTGCAGCCGCTGAGAAGCCTCAGCCTTCATTCTCCACTCCTAAGACTCCTCTCGAGTTATAGCCATCCTCCCAGGTGTCAGTTTATCTGACTTGCCCTCCTTGAGACGCGCTGTGCCTTTTCTATCTGAGATCTCAGGTCTCTCTGCAACTCTGAAAGGAGTCCTCAACTGTTACTATCTGTCCCATGGACCTCTGGGAACATTGGGAACATAGCACTTGCTTATT